ATATATTTTGAAAGGATTCTTACTTTACAGCATTTTTTCACACCTGCCTAAAACTTTTGCACAGTACTGTATGTATACACACACAAATATATACACATATACTGACATCAATAAGTTATGGTTTATTCAATAAACAAAGGTTAAATAAATTATAGCTGACTGCAATGTGTGAAGTCAAATCTCTATATGCTTCTCTGAAACACTTAAAAGGAACCAAAAGCTTTTCCTGTCCTCACTTCAGCAGGAACAAGGCCCTGTCTCAAGACTGTAGCTGCCTCCCTATATTATCAAGAGGACCTACCTGTTTTTACAGGTCTTGTATTCTGCTTTCAGAATGGGCTTACAAGATTCAACTTTTTTCCCATCTCGCTGAATCTTACCTGTAAATGAATAGTTTAGAAAAGACCCATTTATTTTCCCATAATGCCAATAGACAGAGTTGCCATGGCTGTTCTGAGCAGTAACAAACAGTTATGGGAGAAAAGCTATGCGTCTGGGGTTGGAAATGACCTCAGGGAATACAATGAAGAGCAACATCCCAGTGCACTGCATGATCTCACCTGGGGCTATGGAGAAAAAAAGAGATGAAACACTGAGGTGATTCTGATGTGGCCTAATGGCTAATCAATAAAGTGTTGTTGTTACTTAGGACTCATCTCACATTCAAACCCCCTGAAATGCCAAATCCCTGCTGAATAAGCTGGCCTTGGGCAGCTGGCAGAGAGAGCAAGAACAAGGTGAACACTTTCAAGTTCCCTAAAAGCACATCTCAGGCAGTAGTAAAAATTCATTTTTCTAGACAACCTCTCCTTCCTAGAGACTTCCTTCTCTTTAGCCTCATAATATTCACGGTATTTCAAGCAGGGCTGGATCTAGAGCTGGAGAATTCTGGGAGTTGAAGTCCACCCATCTTAAAGTAGTCAAGGTTGAGAAACGCTGCTCTAGGCTTTTCGGCAAGGCATCTTCTGCTGCCCCCTATTGTTTGGCTCAATTTCTGATTTGGTGAGGAATTTTAAAAAGGCAGCCTCTTGTTTTGGTTTTTCTTCTTCGAGTTTTTGAGCTTTACCTTTAGGATTTTCAGCCCCAGACAATTTTTTTTCCTTTTCTTGGACATTTTCACCCTATTGACACAGTAAGTAATTTTAATTACATCACCACCCATTGTTGTCATATGGCAAAATTCAGTGAAATTATATTTAACCTTCAAGCAGGTGTGCTGGCTCATGGAGTGAGCCGTTACTGCTTTTCACTTTTTTATTATGTTTTTGGGAAGTCTTTTCAATTTTGGTGCCCCTGGGCTGGTATCTACTGAGCCTTAGCCTAGAGCTGACCCTGATTTCATGTTTGTGCCCCAAGGCTATTTTTCCTTCTGTTATTTCTCCTCAGTAAGTTGTCCCATTCCAGAATCAGAATATTTCATAACACTTCTCTTTTCTTTCTGGGTCATTTTTCTAGGGAAGCATTTTCTCACCATTTGGTTTTCTCTGCGAGCTTTTGCCCCATCATTTCCAGTAGGCAAGCAGGTCAGATGCCCAGACAGAATTTTATTCCCCAACCAGCTTGCTTTCTAAAGCTTCTGCTTGCCTTTAGGTGGGAGTGCTGGAATACTTTTCTTATATGTTTAAAGATTGTGTAGCCAGTAGTAAATCGGCAGTAGTAACACTATTGTATAAAAGCTGGCTTCTCCATTAGCAACAATAGAGACATCACGTAGCATCCCCATGTAAAGGAAGACATATCTTATGCATAGAAAAACGTATCAGTTTTAGCTCTAGATAAAGAGACATTTGTTTAACTATAAATAAGGAAGCATCTGCTCTCTCTCTAAGATAAGGAAACCTTTGTAATGAGCTAACACATTCCATTCTATTGATAATAATTGGCTAAATTTCAAAACTTCAGAACCCTATAAAAAGGGAAACAAAGAGAAGTGCTGCCCACCCAAAGCAACTTGATAACTTTGGGTGAATAAACATATTTTTGACTCTCCACTGATCGTCTGGTGTGCTTCATTTCCAGCTTGGAATGAACCAAGAGAAGGTGTTTTAATCCTTCTGACAAGGTAAAGGAAATATGGAGGCATTTTTCTCAACTGGCCAGACTAGACAACAGGTAAGACAATCCTTGCATTAAAAAATTACCCTTTCCTGGTTTGCCCAGCCAACTACAAAGTTTGCCCAGCCAACTACAAAGCTGGTCTTTGGCTAATCTAGATAGAGACCTTCCAGAAGGGTTTTATTCATAGTAGACAACATACAGTTGCAGAAGGGAGAGGAAACCGTTATAAAACCGTTATATTTTCTTTTTGGTTTGGGGAGATGGGTTGAAGGAATTTTTGTTAGTTCAGGATTCACTTATATTCAGTGTTGTTGGGATTGTACAAGTGAAATTTTACACATGCATGCATTGTACATAATGTATTTAAAATGTATATAACATAGATAACTTGTATGGACATTGTTCAGATTGGTTTGCCAAACAACAGCAAAATTCAGTTCTGATTTTTTTTCATTAGATCAAAAGTTTGCTGAATTGAGATTTGTAAAATGAAGGATTTAGGGTAAAGTGAATGACTGAGCTGATCACGTACCAGGTCTACCAAAATAGATACACCTTATCTTGATAAATTTGTATGCCAGGCCTGCCCTATATTTTTTGGGGGGAAAGTGAGGTACAAGTGAGTGGGGAAGCTCATGTGGCTATGAATGCCAAGAATGCTGTTTGCTTGCTTGGACTGGTGGGCCAGCTGCAGCCCTGCATGCAGAGAATGGATTTTGTCACAGCTATTTCCTAGGGATAACCAGTCTCTACATGGGTTCTCTCTCAAAACATCAGGGAATGGCAGAATGCAGTTACTGAAGCTTTTGTGGGTGGGAGGGCAATAATGGCAACAGACGGAAGCAGACAGTGAGCAATGGTTGGGAGGCAGCGAGGTAGGCAAGCCAGGTGGCTCCTCCAGAGTTTGATCCTGGAGTGAAGCGAGAGAGATGGAAGTAGAAAGCACAAACTCTCCCCCTCTCTGAGTAAGAGACATGGGCCAAGAAATCTCCTCTCTGCAGGAAGAACATGATCCATATATTCCAAAGTTTTAAACTAATACTAAGATGCATTGCCCTTAGCTGGGACTTGTCCCTAGTGTAGATGGTATAGCTTGTCCTCTATTAAATGTTCACTTCTGGAGAGAAAGAGAGAGAAATAAGGCCCCCTGCTACATTATTCACAAGAGCAGTCTAGATTATGGGAAGCAGCTCCAATTAAAAATCATGAAAACTGTGGTAACAAGAGCCCCAATTCAAATGCTACAATGCTATCTTGAAACTACTCATTTGCAAGGTCCAATGCTCAGGGCCTATTCTAGACAAGGTGAAGGTGTGAGCTGCAACACAGATGAACAAGTGCATTGCTTGAAGTCAGAACTTTATATGCTTTATTTGTTTCTTATGCATACCAGCAATAATGGATATATCTTACCGTGCGGAATTATTATCTGGAAAGGCCGGCTGGGACTTTTTAGATTCCATAGAGTTAAACTGCCATCAGAATGACTGCACATAAATTGCTTCCCTTCATGATGCCATCCAATAGAGTGAATAGCCTAAACAGAACAGTAACCACAAAGAGAACCTTGGGCTCTAGCAAATAAATAATGATAGCCTATTTTTTCTTATTGTTGGGGATACATATAATGGCCATGCATTCACCAAATGTTTAACACCATTCACCAAAGTTTAAGACCAGGAACATGAAAAACCATAAATGCTCAGGGTCTGAGCAATGTCCAGTTAACTTATGAAGCAGAGCTGTCTTGAAGAGCAAGAACATATGGTGAGATGGGGAGGAAAAAACAAGAGAGGCCTCTTAGAGACTTTCTTAATTCTTTTGGATTTCTAAATAAATGTGAACACTTTACCATCCTTCTCCTCCTCGTTTTCCTTTGGCTAATGTGATACCCACCCTGCTTCCAAGTGAGAAAACCAGGGAACAATGGCTTTAAGTAACAGGAAGTCACTAAATGTCAGGAAAAAAAATTCTAACAGTAAAGCCAATTTGATAGGGGAACCAATTTCCCCTTCACTGCATGTGTTCAAGCAAAGACTAGATAGTTATCAGTGATGCCTTAAATTAGATTCTTGCACTCAGCAGAAGATCTACAGGCCCCTTCCATTTCTATTATTCAAATTAACAACTGAATTCTAACCTTTCTCTTATAACTAGATCCTACTGAGCTCAACTACACTTGTTTAAATATATAAAGAGAAACCTTTTTAGAGTACAGTTCTTTGCATAACTGTTCAATAAAGATTTAGTTCTACTCTACCAAGTGCTGAGCGCAGGGTAGCAGATTTGGTGTTTAACTGTGATTAAGGTTGAAGCTTAAAAATCTTTAAATGCTTTGGTAAATGGCCACACCACAGCCAAATCACAGAATCAGAGAGTTGGAAGGGACCTAAGAGGTCATCAAGTCCAACCCCCTGCATACTGCAGAATTCACTACATCATCCCTGCTGGATGACTATCTGGTCTCTGTTTGAAAACCTCCAGTGAAGAAACTGCTCCATACGGTGATCTGTTCCACTGATGGACAGCTCTTACTGTCAAGAAGTTCTCCCTAATATCTAATCTGTATTGACATCCTTGAAGTTTCATCCCATTCGTTCTGGGCTTACCCTCTGGAGCAAGTGAGAATAAGTCTGAATCCTCTGCAGTGTGATGGCCCTTCAGCTATTTGAAGACAGCTATCATGGCCCCTCTCAACCTTCTCTCCTAAAAGACTTATAAATGGGCAAAGGCAGTAGCAGCCCTTCCCTACTTGGGTTGCATCTCATCTGTTCTCAAAGTGATATAACCTCTGAGCAGAAGATGCATTATTTATCCCTATCACTTCTAATCAGTGTCATACTTTTAAAAATTGTACAGCATATCTATTATCTTGAGCCATCGTTCATTAGAGGCAGGGAACTGGAGTTACACTTTGCAGTCGGTTCTATACTTATGGTCACGGGGAAAACAGAAGTGATGTTGATGAAGTGGCTAGAGCCAAACAAATCTTTTTTTTTTTTTTAAAGGGGTGATGGGTGTTTTGTTCTGGTTTGGTTTGATGCGAAAAAGCATATTAAAAGCCTTAAGAGGCTTGATACAATTATTTTAGTTTATTCATTATAAAACAAAACTCACAGTGAAAATTCCCAGTTTATTATCAAATGTGGCCAGTGTAACCCTTGGCTTGGTAACCATATGACTATTTTTTCTTTCTGTAATGATTTCATACAATTTTGTTTTAGAAATCTGTAACTGGAGGCTCCAGGTCCAAATCTTGCTTTCTTTGATTATCATCTGTCTACAAGCCAGTTCCATATTGCAAGCTCAGAGACAAGCAATGTGCAGGAATGAAATTGGGAACACACCAACTTTCCCAGCAGAATAATAATAATAACAATAATTTATTAAATTCATATTCTTAACACATATATATTTGTCAAACAATTTTACTTAATGTATGGGGTTTTTACGCTACCTTCTCTAATGCTCATAACTTTCTATGCAATTATCTGTATAAATGAGTCACAAAATCTGGAGTAGAAAAATTGAATAATAATAGTAATAGTTCAGTTAGTACATTATTCCAGGAAATAAGAATTAGGATGCTTTGCCTTAAAAAGGAATGTTAATTTCTTTCTTATCCTCATGTTGCTGTATGTAACAAGAGGCTCAGGTTTGTCACATTAATGACATTAGCTCTGGAGTGTGCCTTCTGCCTATTTAAAACATGAGATAATATTGAATAAATATTTATTCAGTATCTCATTCTTCCTCCAAAGAGCACAGAGCTTAGCACATGTGATTACTGTATCCAATTTTATTCTTGAGAAAGTAGCTATGACTAGGTTGGAAGACAATGTCTTGTTTACAGATACCAGCATGATTTAATCAAGGCTGTAGGAACTGGATCTGTAGGAACTAGGAGCATGGCAATGTGGCTTTAATAAATTGATTAGATGAATATAAGCAAGCATAACACAGTTATGGCTGATCTTGATTATCTCATATACATTTCAGCTTTGCACTTTTATTCCTTTTTGCTGCCATCCACTCAGTATGCGTCATGCCTGAGGCAAATGGAAGAAATTAATTAATCATTGTATACATTTTAGGAACCAGAAAACTGTATATACTTTGTGCTTTTAAAAAAAAGCAGAAATAGCTTACCTCACCATAATACGCCCTTAAATCTGCTCGTTTTGATCTCAAATCCCAGAATACTATGGTCCCATTTTCATAACCTATCAATAGCTGGGGAAGAGGGAATGGGAAGAAAACATAATCAAAGTCACAAACTAACATTTGTTAAGAATATTTATTTTAAAGCTGCCAAATGTAACATATGTATAATGATATAACAAACATGGAATACAAACACAATCCACATTTTTAAAGAAAGGACAAACCTATGTCATCTTCTCTTATTTAGCGTACAAATATTCTTGAGTACATTACAATGTGTGTTGAGATGAAATCCTCCATTGACAGTAATGGGGATTTCCTAACAATACAAACTTCAGAGGGTTTTCCTTAGGATCAAAGCAGGAGAAGAATGTTGTCCCTTGACATCTACTGGGAACCAATAATTATCATCCCCACCCAACTGCTGTTATTTGTACTTTTTAAAAAAATGTGTGTAAAATGTAGGAAAACATGCTCTATTTTCATACTTTTTTCTAGAATTTCAGAGACTTGTAAAACTACATTGACAAAATGACACAAGAAATTACTACATTCACCAAGGGTTGGGAAGTGCCCCCTCCAAAAGTAGATGCCATTATTTGTTCTGTTATATAGTTATACCTTTGTAATTCCAGTACTGAAATTTGAACCAATGGAAATAATAGTACCACCAACTAGATAACCAACAAGAACCTGATATATCACCTGCAGGATAACCTCATAACCAAGGTCCTCCTGATGAATCAGTACCAGAGAAAGTCCCAAGCACTGGAGAGATCAAAGGGGCCACAAAACAACTAAAGCAATGCAAAGCAACAGGATGCAACAAGGTCAGTGCAGAAGCCCTGAAGTCAGGGGATTGATTCTTTGCAATAACAGCTAACTCGCTAATTCAGTTGATCAGGACATCAGATTGATTGGGACATCAGAGCAAGTGCCAAACACATGGAAACAAGCCATCATAGTCCCCATATTTTAAAAAGAAGAGAACCACAAGTGCAAAAACTTACTGGGATCAATCTGCTTTCCATGGTCAGTAAAATATTCCTGCAGATAATCAAACTCAGAATAAAAAAACAAAGGGAACAAATAGCCAAGAAGAGACTGGTTTCTATCCAAACAGGGGTGCTATGATCAGATATTACACTACAACAAGTCATGGAAGAATGCATTCAGTGCAGCAAACCACTCATCATAGTATTCATTGACTTTGCAATCACCTTTGACAGTGTGCATTGACCTACTCTTTGGAAAGCACTTACCACTGAGGGAATGCCAAATAAGTTAATACAGATTCTACAGCAGACTTATGATAGCTCAATTATCAGGGTTCGCTTCCCAGCCATCAAGGTCTGACAAGAATGCATCCTCCATTGCTATTCAATACTGCAATAGATGCCACCATTAGAAAAGTTTTCACAAATAGGTAGGGAATTGAATTTGGCCAGGATCAGTTCATCACCAATCTCATGTATGAGGATAACATTGCAATTTTTGCTGATTATGAAATGGAAGCCATCAGTATCTCTGTAATATTGGGGATGCAGTGCAGCCATTTGGAGTACCCATCAGTGTGGAAAGCACTGACCACTGATGGCTTACCAGTAGTCATACAGTTAAACGGAGTTCAATTAGAACAAGAATTCAAATACCTTGGCTCTGTAGTACAGGAAAAGAAGGTTGCCTCAACAGCTGAAGCGAAAACCAAATTGGGGCTGCTACCACAGCTTTTGGTTCATTCAACTGGTGTTTACGGAGGACGGCTAACATTAGCAGAACCACCAAACTGCAAATGTTTCACTCACTGAAAGTACCTGTGCCTCTGCGTGAGGCTGAACCATGGACACTTCTATAACCAGAGATTAGGAAACTGGAAATATTCCAAATGGGGGTCTCCATTGGATTCTGAGCATCACACTGATGAATCACATAAGAAATGAAGCCATTCATCAGCAGTGCTGCAACCAGACAATAATAGCCAATGAAATCCAAAAACAGCAGCTGAAATGGTTTGGACATATATGCAAAAGGGATTCAGTTCATTACCCAAACAAGCTACTCTAGAGACCACCACCCCATGGATGGAAAGTTCAGTGCAGTTGAAAGTCTTCAATCAAGATAAGGCAAATTGAAGACAGGATTTGAATTAATGGACAAACACTTTGCAAGGCATTGTATCAAATACCCATGGTCCTGATGCACCCATAGCAGTGCACTGGTTGCAAAACTGTATTCAGCTAATCATGTGTTGGGGAGATCAATTTCAAGTTCCAAAGTTCAACCATTGGCTACATTGTCTGGAGAAAATGGGAAATACTGTAGTGTTCAATCAACATCTGGATGGCCAGATTCCCCACTCTGATATACGTAGTTGGAAAACAATGCTTCAACTTCCCAAAGTTCCTATAAATATTAGGACCGTGCAACATTTTGAATTCAAAGAGAACAGGATGTTTGAAGTACATGGGACTCAAATGTGGCCCCTGCAGCCATGTTTTTTCCCAGGGTTGTGCACAGCTGCTGTATGATCCTGGGTAAAATGACAGATTTAAGGAATTGCAGACAGAAACTACATTCATGACACCTTACACTCCAAAACACCTACTTTCGTCAAATCTGAAGCACTGCACAGCATCCATCCATCCATCCCTCCGTACATACATACACATACATATATATCTGCTCTCGTCTAATACAAAGCCAAGCATACAAAATTAACCGTTACTTATAACACCTCCTTCCTGCACTGAATGACAGCTGCTTCCCATGCTACTGCTGGAAGAGCCACGTTACCCTCCCCAAGATATCGCTGGCAGAAATGTCTGGGTTACTTCTTTAGCTTTAGGACAGGTTTTGCCCTCAGAACAACAGTGGCACTGAAGAGCAATGCTGTAGTACAGAGGTATACTGTACAAGGGTCTGCTAAGAGATTACCAATACATTGATAAGAGTAACACTATTAGCAATACACAGAGAGAGAGAGAGAGAGAGAGAGAGAGAGAGATACATACTTGTATCTCTTTGTGGGGAGTGGGAGAGTTGGCTGTTGTCACTGTTGACAATCCCTAGTGTTCCATATGCTGAAAAACATATGATTTAGCTGGTTTTAAGGCATAATGATCATAAGTCGCAGAATGTACCAGCTACACTGAACATTTTATGTAGGCTTTATAAGCTTCTCTGATGGCTCCTGTCTTTCATAGGACAAGGAAAATGAAAGGATGATGAAAATGAAAGGAGTGACCTTGAAAATCTGAATGTAGTTATCTATGGGAAAAATTGGTAGTCCACCTGAATGTATATCTTTTGCCCCTGACAGCCATCAGAGTCATTCAGGTAACTATAGCCATCCACCAGCCCTGCCCTGGGGTGGGGTTGTGGCTGGTGTCATACTCGGAACCCAGGTGGGGACATTTCTGAAAGGGTCTCTCCCTCCATACCCAACCAGGTCTCAGTTACATACCCCAGATTGTCCCTCACATTCTTAACCTTTTCCCTACCCTGTACCTACCTACCACTCCATTTCCCACCAGCTTTATTTCCTGCCTGTTCTCCACATTTCTTTCCATTCTTCCTCAATCTATTTCTCCTCTTCCACTTGCCACCCCAAATGCTGCCTTTCTCTCCCTGTCTAGTTCTTCTTTCACTTCTGCTTTCCATTTCCTCTTTCTGTGTTCCCAAATGCTCCACCACCTCTCCTTCACTATGCATCTCTGTATTTCTGCTTGGCCGTTCTGTTTTTGCATCACCCCAGTATGTTCTGTGTTTCCCCCTCCTCCACGTGATTCTTCCCAGCACATTCTGTCTTTCCAGTCTCTTGCAACTCCCACCCAAGCTTTCCCAGACTGCTCACCCACTATTCTCCAGCTTCCCTGTGCTGAATTCCCTCTCCCTCTTCTGCTGAAATGCTGCAACTTCTCCAGCGAGGAGGGGGAGGGGGCGGGGGAGAAGGAGAAGGAGAAAAAAAAAGAAAAAGAATTAGCCTCCTCTGTTAATTAAAACAAACTCTGCATTTCCCCCACTTCTGGAACAGATGGAAAAAGCAACATTTCTTATTGGTAGAGAAGACTATGAAACAGTCTCAGTGGTGTGCTAATGAGCAAAAAAAACAATGCTTTTTACAATAGTATTATAACTCCTAAAAATAATATAACAAAAACATATTAAAAATGAGTAAAAAACACACACATTAAAGTAATTAACAGGATAAAAGTGGTCCCACCCTTTTGGACTGTGGCTCTTCCCATGCCCCAGCAAGCCTAGAGCAGCCTTGGAAGCAGCAGAAGTTGGGCGCCCACCCAGACCCCATGGCAAAAACAGGATTCCTGTAGCAAGCAACTGCAGGGGCTCCAGTGGCTGAAGCATTGCCTGTGGACCAACTCCTACCCCTGCCAGAGAAACAAGGGCGGCAGCAGCTGTGAGATGGGACTAGATATGTTCCTACAGCTTTCAGCACAGCATTCCTAAACATAACACAACACTGTCAGATTACTCTTAAGATTATTCTAAGTATAAAGCCAAATTTAAAAAGAAGCCAGTGAACAGTCTTTCCTCCCCTAACTAGCTTTGCAAGGCACAGAGTTCTATGCCAAGTTTTCTTAGTCCAGCTGAAGGAGTCACTGAACAGTGAAACGTTCAAAGCGGCCTCTTAATTACAAGATGTTCAGCTCTGGATTTCTTAGAGAATTCTCTATAAGTGCAAGCAATTTGTCTCCCTTATTAGCACAGTATAGGTTTTAACATGAGTTGATACCCATATTCAGTCAGGTTCATTTCTGGTCTTTCTCTACCGGTGTTCCAGGCATCATTTCCTGCTTTCCATGTCCTCAGATGGATGAATAGCTAGAGGCATCTTGGGAGAAATTGTGTCAAGAGCCCAGGATGCCTTCTGATGCCAGAGACTGAAGATGCAACTATGAGAACTGCTGGCCAGATCTTTAGGAAACTCCCCATGTACCCTCCGAAACATCTCGGGAATCATCAGACATCTGAAGCAGATCATCATAATAGATTCCACAGTCTTGGGTGGTGATCAATCTTAAATGGATAAGGAAGTGATCTGGATGAATTTCTTGTCTGTCAACGGAGCCAATTCAAGAATGTCTCCTGAGATGAAACTCAGAGTAGCCAGGAACAACTTGCTTCTAATTCATGAAATTGCAGCTTTTCTCTGAAAAGGATTCTTCAAACTGATGCATGATAGCTGGTAATGGAGTATTGGAGTATGGGATGAGGAATATGTATTTGGTGTCAGCAAATGTTCATACTTAAAAAATTCAGTATTGGGGATATTAATGGAAACCATCAAGAAACACCTCTTAGTCCTCAAGGCTGATCTCCAAATGTTACTTTGTCTTGTTATCAAAGCCCAACTTTATAATCTACCTGCAAATAATCTCTTATATGATGTAATTTTAAAGTTAATAATTTGAAAGATAAAAAACTATAGAAAGAAAAATCATGAGATCCACAGATTTATTTTTACAAACAATATTTCAGTCATATAAGATATGACACTCCATATTCATAAACATTATAGCTTTCAGTCTGTCTGAAACAAAGTTTGCTAGGCCTCTTCTCCTTCTTTGAAGTCTTATCTTTTAAAAAGTCCACCAAAATCAGACATGGGTCCACAATTAAAGGAACCTTTCTCATAACATATTATATTTTCAATCAAGCTGGTCATCTGGTAAATACAATTTGATGACTGAAGATCTCTAGGAATTATCTATGCAGCAGTCTTTGTCCACTGACCTGTGTTTGAAGAATACCATAAAAAAGGCCTAACTAATGTTTATTTAGGAACTATTTCTCTCAGGAATCAATCTAACTAGTCACCTGCATGAGGAGTGTAAAAGTCATCCTATCTAGGAGAAGGAATTTCAAAATTAATCTTAGAAGGCAATGGCAAAGCTTCCCATAATCTGTGATTGGGATGGCATGTAAATCCCATAATAGCACATCACTTTTTAGGGGTATGCAGTATTCAGATCTAAAGTGGGCAAGGATGCTTCAGAACTTGCAGAGCTTCCCATTCCTTCAGACTGGCGTCCATCATGAAGATGACATACTCTGGTTCTTGGTTTAGCAAGCCTTCAACAGAGAGTATTCTGCTCCACCACTTCAGCAAATGCTTTAGAAAGGATTGTGAATACAGGATTTTGATTAGTCAAAATTTCCATCTGGAAATCCAGGAGATACCAATTTTTTCTCAAGAGTAGGAACTGGAATAGTGATCCAAATATGAAGAGATGCTTAATGACTGCCAAAGTTTTAAAGTGTTTTTATGGATGCTTTGCATGGGGAACTCAAAGTATCTTTCATGATTCAATGGAATTTCTAAGCATGACTTAGATGAATTGATGGCATCTTTTTTTGGTAGGTGGTAATGGAGTGGCCTCTGGTGTGGCCTTGGACTCCTGGTGCCATTCTGGCTTGTTGAGTTTGGGCATCCAGTTGGTGGAAGACAGGCAAAAAAGAAGCCTGTTTTGTTTGAAAGATCACTTAGTTTATTTTTTTCATGATATTCTTCTCCTCAGCTTCTACTGGCACAGAATTCATTCAGGGATTCACCAAACATCCATCTATTTAAAAAAGGAGTTTCCTGCCAGATTTGCCTTTGTTTTTCACTAGTTATGGAGCTGAAAGAAGTTATTTTTAGTAGTTATGGAGCTGAAGATTTATGTACCAAGGAAGACAGAGATGCAGAGTCCTGCTTTTTCTTCTTTAATAGGACTGGCATTCTTGGACTTTCTATCTCCAGGGCAGCCTAGAGGCCAGTTTACTTGCGCTTCCTCCTCTGGAAGACCATTGGAGACTGTCTTTCTGCCCTTGGAAGGTTGGCACCTCTGATCTGACTGGCATTGTGCTCTTAAGGGGAGGGTGAATAAAGAATTTAAATCAATATCTATATTGCAACATGTTATAATATTTTTATTGATAAATTAAACAGCATTGCATTAAGCAAAAGAAAATAAACTGATTGAAAATACATATTTTTCAATGTTTACTGAATCAATGGCCTACTTAAAAAGCATTAATATATACATTGTACAGTTCAGAAGTATTTATGGTGTTTGTATGTTTCAGTTCAGTAAAAACTTCTGTTTACTAAAATCTTGCTTAACCTTACCCAAGAGGATTATACATACTTTTTTTGCAAAATATTCTACTGCCCATGGCACATCATAATTTCTATATGTTTTTGTGCATGTTTAAATTGCCCAATTAGTTGTAGCAAAAGGGCAAATTAAAAGAAAAGAAAAGAAAAAAGAAAAGAAAAGAAAAGAACTGAGAAATACTTGAGTTCCTCTTACTCACTTTCCCTTCATCTCTTGGGCTATCGCTTAGATGCACAACGGGCCCAGGGTGAGTCTTTGTTGACCTGCAAATCAAAATTGAAACTATAAAAACCAAATACAATTTATTTCTATTTTGGAAGCCAAGTAGATAATTTTAGAGGAAGTCAACTAAGAAGCCATGGTGACTATTACATAATGAAACTGAATATGATCCTTCTTTCAGTGAGAAGGTAGGAAATAGGCTCATTAAAATTATTAGATAGTAGGAAGAGAGTCAAGGTAACACAGCTATAAAAATGGGATCCAGGAGGAGACTAGTCATCCTGGAGTACTTATTTCAGTCTGGTTGATGAGGAACTACTGAAGAACACTCCTCTAACATTACTTTTCGTGAGTTCTGTACCCATTTAATTTTCATATTTAATTATGCTAAATAGAATAATGTGTAGTACTTTGTTAAATCCTTTCCTAAAGACAAGATCTACAGAATTCCATAATCTACTAAGGAAGCTATCCAACAAAAAATGGAGAGTTACCATATTTTTGCTCACAGATCCGTATTTTCATGATCTCCTCTGGAATTGTCCTAGGTACTGATATTAAAGAAAGTGATCTTTAGTTTGCTGAATCTTCCTTTCCCCCTTTTTGAAGATAAGTACCACATTTGCTATCTTCCAGTCATCTATCCAGGATTTCTTGGAATGTCAGTCAGACTATCAGCTTTGCATCCTGCAGTACTTTAGAATGCAATTAATCTGGCCCAGATTAAATTTATCCAAAAAAATATAAATATTATCCAATTACATTTCTATCAATCTTAAGCTTCAGTCTTGTTCCTTAATTCTGTTCTTCCCAACTGCCTGATGGAGAAGACTGAACCAAAATAGGAATTAAATGGAACTAATTTCTCATGTGTACATTGGGGTTTGCATAGGATTGTGCTGTTGAAACAGCCATGCAGTTATACTTATGAGTATTTCAATTGCACAAATGCTTTTTAAAAAAATTATCTGGCACTCAAAAGAGTACTGTGACTACAATAAAGGTTTATAAAATTAATGAAAGTTGTTTTTTTTTTAAGTTAGGAGAAAAGATTTCTTTAACAAGGTAGGAATAGGGCTGATTGAGATGAATGCACAATATATTCCTAAGCAACCCATTATTCTTAACCAGTTAGGCCAAAGGTGATTGTGGCTGTGGATTAAGTGAGTTAGAGTCCAAAACAGCTGAAGGATGCCAAATTGCAGAAGGCTGCTCTAAGCAAAAATAAACCTAGAAAGAGAGGGAGTCCAATAAAGCGGTTATCCAGTAGTGAGCAACCAAAATCTTTCAAGCCTGACTGCTGCTCACGCTCCTAAACTGACATACGCTCTAAGTATCTGCCACAGCTCCTGGCTAGCTGGACAGCTTCTGCTTGACGAATTTGGTGCAAGGGCAGCGGGCTGCAGTTCTCTCTGCTATTTTTTTCTGTTTAACTTCATCACTTTTCTTCCTATTTCAAATTATGCCTTTTCCATCAGAACCACCTCATGGCACTTGCATGGAGCCCAAAAGGGTTGTGCTCTAAGCATCATTACCACAAGGGTGGGCAACCCAGTGCCGAAAGCATGTGTGACTTCAGGTCTTTTTCTGTGACCTTTAGAAAATGGGTTGTATCGTACCCATATATAACATAATGTGTTGTATTACATTAAGTCATATATAATATATGTGAACTGCAATCTAAATTATACAGAATTATAATGTGTACTTCATTTAACATTGGAATACTGTTCTTTTTTATCCCACCTTTTTAATATATAATTCAAGGCAACAAACGTAGCTAATACTCCTGCCCGTCTATTTTCCTCACAACAACCACCCTGTAAGGTGGGTTGGGCTGAGAGAGAATGATTGGCCCAAAGTCACCCAGCAGCTTTCATGCCTACTGGAGGCCTTGAACTCAGAGTCTCCTGGTTTCTAGACCAGCACCTTAACCTCTACACTGAACTGGCTCTCAAACCAAACTTGCTTTTCAAACCAAAACAAACCAAATTTATTGCTCTCACTAACCAATATCAAAATAATAAAATAAAATGCCTCAGTTACAAATACACAAAGTTATTCGTGGAGATAGCTAACTGTAAGACATCGACATGGGAACTGGATCATGCAACACACTGAGAAGTCTACTGTGCACCAAGCACACTAGCATGGGCCCCAACAATTTCACACACAAAGCTCGAGAAGTCTTCACACGTTCTTCCTCTTCACATGTGCACTTTGGCTTAACATGAATGTATGCTAAATTTTAACCAGCTATCACAAACCAGACTGAACCAGCTAGATAACCCCTCTGTATGAGGGTAAGGGGGCAACAATCCACTGCACAGACCTTAAGCTTGGCCCAAAGAATTCCCCTAGATATTGAGCTGAAAGCCTGCTCAAAGTATACAAAAGGCAACACATAAATCTGCTTTAGAGGACAGTGTCTATTTTTTAATCTAATGGTGAAGCATTAAGGCCCAATCCAGAGCAGATCTGTCTGTCCTAAAGCCTGCCTGCTCAGCTGCCAAGATATTCTCTCCTTCCAGCTTGGCCAGCAACTTCCACTACAGATCTCTGGTGTGGAGCGTATTAATAATAGGCTGACAGGGCAGCAACTAACTGGCTTCTCTTGAAAACAGGATAATTAGGGCCAGGCGCCTCTCTTTAGGCATACAAGCTAATCTATCAATATAAGTAAAGAGTGAATCCAAGAATGTTGCTCAGAATCAATTCAGGAGGGATTAAATCTCTCCTGGGGACTTTTGAAGTTTCAGTTGCCTAATTAGTTTTGTATTTTTCTGAAACTGTGACTGGTGGCTAATGAGATATCTGGGGTAATGCAAAGTTTTTCCACAGACAGCTCTGAGAAATGGTCCTCCCAGATACTGGTCAGGCTACAGCAGCCTACAGGAAGATGCTGCAAATCTCCAACAACATGGCTGGCTCTTTTGCTCTTGCTGTTACAATTAAGCATTTCCAAGCAGCGTGTGCGCCATCCCTTTCTTTGACGGCTTGTAAGGACAATAATGCCTCCTCTGGACGATTACCTTTAAATAAGGGGGTTCAAGGAATCCTTCCAGTGGGCCCTATAAATGACACTGTGCTTTTTTTTTCTTTTTTTCCTGCATACAAGTTCAGACTAATGCTTTAAACTATGCTGGTTATCATGTTGCTGCTTAATGCAAAAAAAAAAAAAAGTTGCCATCTCCTGGTTGAGCTGAATCTGGCTCTCATATTGCCTTTTTTTCTTGCCATGGGTGGTTTGTGATTATTCAGGGGCAGGCTTTATTTATTTGTACAATTTAGAGGCTGCCCAATTCCAGACGACTTTGGGCAGCTTGTAGCAAATGGATAGAATTCAACAGCTCAGCCCAGGATGTTGCTCAGATTTGTTGACCGTCTTATACAAGATGGCCTGGTTTCTACATCTGTGAATATCCCTGCCTACTGAGTAAAGGTTCAGGTTTTACTGGAAGCTGATCACAATCTCAACAACAAGCAACTGTAAAATTTATCAGCTGGTTTAAAAGTCCCCAAGAGAGGGTTATGTAATTCATAGTGCTCATTTTGGACCCAGACCAAAAAGTAATTTCCTTGGACTATCCCCACTAACAGCTCCATTTTAAGATAGAGAGATTTGCTTTGCAGGCCAGGTCCTGCAAAATTGCATTAGGGCTAGGAGAACTAAATGTAAGCCTCTAGGAAATAAATTTGAAGCTCGCGTATATAAGTGCACTTGTTGAGCTATATCCCTTATATATTAAATTTAAATTTAAGAGCGGGAAATGAATGACAATTGGGGAGTGGGCTGAACCTTTGAAGGATATGTGTGGGCTGCTTTATGTCACGCTGTTTTTTCTCTGAGGCAAATACATGCAAGCCTGCACACAGATGCTACTGTAGAAAGAACTGTGTGGGGTAATTGCCTGAGTTCTCTCCAGCAGTCGCCTTCAGATAATCTGGCCCTGAAATAATTGAATAATTAACACTAACTACTTTTAGAAAACCCACACATCTGATCCCATACTCATGTGCAGGAAGATCCTATAATTATATTGTGTGCCTAATAGAAGGATGAAGTTGAAAAGCATAAAATAATTTTCCACTTGGTTGTCTCATTAAAGGTACTGATCCTGATAAGAGAAATAATGCTGTTTGTGCTCTTGGAAGTCATGACAAGAGCTCAGGTGTAATACAAACAGTGGTCTTCTTTTGCGTACAGCACCCTTCCAACGTTTCTTAATGAGCTGGAGAGGTGAAGAGAATTCTCATCAAATCTGGAGGAGATAGGAAACTGGATAGGGGAGCTAATAGTGTAAAATATCCCTCCCAATATCCATCAGCTTAAAAGTCACACTAGGCCTTGCGTTGTGTGCCAGGAGCTGCACTCTCAAAGTGGGCAGAGCCAGGAGCCAAAGCATTTTCAGGAACATTACGGGATGAAACTGGAGTCTTAAGCATCTGAAGGATTTAAGGACCTCTTTGGGCTTCTTAAAAAACCCCTCCCCAAGTGCAACAAAGGGCTTTTGGCCCAACAGACTCTGGGGGATTTGGGAACAACAAAAGGGAAAGTGGCAGATCACATGCAGCCCCCAAGTGGCACTTTTGCGCCCCTGTTCTAGGAGACTGGAATGCCATTCAGAATAATGTTGATAGGCTAGAGAAGTAGACTGAAAATAGTAAAATGAAATTTAACAGAGACAAATGTAAAGCTCTTCATGTAAGAAAAAGAAATCAATAAAACAAGAGGAAATTTTTCTGGCCTTGTAATAAACCACAAGATGAATATGAGTCAGCAGCGTAATGTGTTTACTAAATAGGCAAATACAGTTTTAGGCTAATTCAATAGAAGTAAACTTTCTAAATCACAGGAAGTAATAATTCCATTATATTCTGCATTGATCAGATTCCACCTCACGTATTGGGTCTAGTTCTGGGCACCACATTTTAAGAAAGATTCAGATGGACTAAATGGGAAAAAAGCAACAAGGGTGGTCAAGGGATTGTAAATTAAGTCCTATAAATTGAGAGAACTGGATTTATGTAGTAGCCTTGAGAACTGTTCTTAAGAAGACAATATGAAAACACTCTTTCAATACCTGAAGGGCTACTGTACTGCAAAGAAGATGGAGAACTGTTTTATAGGAAGGACTGGTTAGAGATCAGGGATTAGGATGCAAAATTCAGAAAAATCAAGAAAAATAGAGAGAGGGAGAGAGATGTAGGGATGCAGAGGAGGTGGAGCAGCTGGGGACACAAATGGAGAAACTGGATAGTAGGTAAAGAAACAGAGCCAGACAGGGAGAAAAAGCTAACATTTGGGGGCATAGCAGCGGAAAAGCAAAGAGAGAGAGCAAGAGAAGCAACAGAAAGAAATGTAGTGTAGAGCAGGCAGGAGATGCAGTGGTGGACTGGCCACTAAGGAATCCTCAGGGGTGGGGAGGACAAGGGAGCACTGTGGGCTGCACCTGACCATCTACTGGGTCATATTCAAGTTGGAAACCAACCTTTTTATATCGCAGGTAAACAGTATTTTCAACCTGAAAGCCAGTTCTTGTGCCAGACAGCTGCCATTCCCAGCACCTTCTCCACAGCTTAATGGACTGGAGATAGCAGAGTTCCATGCTTGGCACTGTCAGTGATCTTGTGATTCATCACAGAAAATTATCTCACTACTGGCTCATCACATCTGGTATTTAATCTCACTCTCTGAAGCAGCAGTGAATGATATGGGCCCATCTCTCACATATCAAATTTCTAGACATTTTTAAGATCTCCTAAAATCTGTTTCCTAAATGTGTTCTGCAAACTAAGATGGGCATCCTTATGCAGCTCGAGGGGTCCACATGCATAAGTAGTCTTTTGTGATACCAGGAACCACGGGGGTAACTTGCAAAGTGGGACTAAAACCATTTGGTAGACAACTGCTGTCTCCTCATTTTACAGCAGCAGCTCTGCAGATTAGGATTGCATTGGAGTACTTGGCTTTCAGTGGAATACATTGTCACAATGCAAAAAGTCAAATACTGTAAAAAAAATACTTTTCATAATGCAACTAGAGATGGATCAGGATGAGAATTATTGAAAATAACCCAAAGCAGCTTATGGTGTTGACTAGAGCATCTGGTTTTCATTTTAAAGAATAGTAACAATGTAAAAAAAGTGGTGAACAATTCAAAACTCACAGTTCTATTGCCTTGTTCCACATGATAACATATCCGGAAAGTATGAAGGATTCAATATTTACAATGTATGTATTTCCCCTCTCTGTTCCAACATAGAGCCATTTGCTTTGGAATGGTAAATGACAGAAGGTAATCCTGTATCAGGGAAAAAGACAATCACATTACGTAAATGTAGTAAAAATAACATATCACATTTCTCATGCACAGATCATATGAAATAGTAGTTGTTAAACTACTAGTTAGTATGGGAAAAACAGATCATAATTTTGAATTAAAGTCTGCCCCTAAGAAGTGAACAAATATCACCCTAAATTATTAGTGAAGATTCTGCATCTTGATTTGTCAGCAAACACTCCATGATCATTCATGCATCAACTTTCTCTCCATCACTGCTTTTTTCCCTAAAAGATCCCAATACAGAATACTATTATTTAAAAAAGATATCACTACTCTTCAGGTTGTTGTACACCGATGTAACTCCACTATCATCCCCAGCCACAAAATGGGCATAACAACTGGGCTGACTTGTAGCTGAGCTAATTTAATTGCTCAGTCACTGGTCTGATTTGTGCCACATCTGCATACATAATCCACACATATTGGCAAGAGCTCAAAATAGCCTCCTCTGAACAGCACATATATCAGTTGTGGCTATTTGTTCATTGATAAAATTGAACAAAAAGGTGGGAAAGCCTCTCTTGCAGAATAAATATGTGCAACAGTGACAACACATTTTACCTCACATCTAGAAAAGTATGTTTGTGTGTGTGTAATAAATGAAAGCTAAGATTCTCAGGATTATGCTTCTCTAGAACATCAACAGGCACCCAGGCCTTCTTTGTTTTTATTTTTTTCCCTTTCTGAGAAAATTTGGCATTCTGACAGTGACTTTTCACCCACAGCTACATTTTTTCTTTAGTTCCCTTCCTCTTGCAATGTTTTGGCCCATGGGTGTGATTAATATGGAGGAGGTGAGAATACTTGACCAGTCCTTTCCTAGACTTCGCAAGACATGAAAGACCAGAGCTGCACTAAGATTAGTCCAGTTAGTTACCTGATGAGAGTGCCCAGTCTAGATAGATTTGCACCTGGCAGAAAATGTCATAGTGTCTCTTCCTCTCAGTTCACCTGTTGCCTTTTAATGAAATACAATATCCATTGTTCAATGGCAGCAATCCAATTTCTGGTACAGCAGGGATCCTCTTACCACAATACAAGAGAGAACATTGATTTGAGGGAGTTCATAGCACCTTGCTTCTCTGCCAAGACACATTCCCAAAGAAGGAGGGAGCCTCACCCAGTGTCCAGGGGAAAAAATAAACTTGCTGGCTCTCTTAACATCATATGCAGATGTGCATATGGCTCCTGATCAATCATTGTAATCAATTGCTCTTCACAAACCCTTCCTACAATCTACAGCTGCTCTCCTGGATTTCCAAGAGAAGATGGAACATTTCAGAAAACTGGAAGGTACCATTTGATCCTGCTGAGGGGTTGTCATGCATTAATTTAATTCCCTCATCCCATTAGCCATCAGCACTGGCTCTTTGTAGGGTTGGCACAATCCAGGTTTGGATTCTTGAAGGGCATATCCACTCCTGTGCTGATGCCAGCTTCACTCTAACGCGATGCAAGAAAAACTTGTCCAGCCCAACACAAAGCTGGCAAGGGATTTAGCCCAAACTACAGGCTACGCCAGTTCTTCATTAGACAATCCCCCTGTGCCCTCCCAACTTTCTGTTCCAAGAAAGCCATTGCCAATGGCTTTCTTTTCTGGATGTAAATGTGTACAAAGTTAGATTAAATTTATATATGCAAAGTAGAAGTGTCAAAATGCACAATAACCAACTTTAAGATGAAATTTCATTTCTTTTTCTCAAGAATGTCTGCTGCAGCTTCTGTCAAAATCTTTTGTAGTGGCATAGTGGTTATAATGCTTGCTTGACATGCAGCATGCCTCTAGCTTGAAATCCAGAAAAAAATGTCTTTTTAACTGCTATTTTTCTTTCTTCCCTTGAGTTACCTATCTTTTGCAGGACATTTCTTTCTTTTTTATATGTCCACTGATGCACTATTTAATCATTTCCCCAGTCATTTAAAGTAGAATGCCCATCTTAATTCTAACCTTAACATTCTAGAATATGGATATAATTGGCAGGGATTTTTCCCCCAAACTCAGATTGTTTTAAAGACCTAGAATGATGATGGCATTAATTTTTGGGTGCTGAGTTTAAAATATTATTGCCCAGTTATAGATAAGTTAAACCAAAAAAATTGGTTTTTAGAATTATTTTTAAAGTGGCCATAATAGGAAATGAACGTTAAACTGGAGAAGCCTGAGAGAATATTAAAGTCTTTGGCTGGCACTGAAGGACAATAAATGAAACATCCAGTGAGGCCTGATCAGCCACTCTCCACACCTCAGCATGGAAGGGCATCTGGAGCAGGCTCACAGGGATGATCTCAATATCTTAATAAGAACATACACAAGAGCTGTTTTTTCTGACACATGATCCCAAACGTAGAAGAACTTTACAGGTTAATTCAGCACTTTGCATTGGGCCCAAACATTAACTGGGAACCAGAGGATGACCTAATATGTCAAGTGGTCACACCCACCTCAGGTAAAATACCTTGCAGTAATCAAAATAAAATGTTACCAGGACATGGGTGACTGAAAGGATGCTCCTTTTCCAGGCAGCGTAGTTGGTGATGCACAGCTTAGTCAATAAAGGGTGCTTTATCCTATAGAGGATGCTTGTCATTTTAATGAAAAGGATTAATCTAAAAGCATTATATGAATCTGACTCTTAATCCAGAAGAGGCTGAACATCACTCATCTAGATAAATAGGCCATTGACTAATAGAATCTTTGTTTCATCTAGACTGAACTTCAGTTTATTGCCTCTCATCCACTCCATCACTGTAGCCAGGAACTGTGAGTAAGCACTTTCAGTGGTTTCATCTAAATTAGATGAAAAAGAGAGGCAGAATCTTTTGCGAATTAATGACATTGCAATCTATATCCCCAACTGACCTCACTTGACAACTTCTTATAAATATTATGATATACATGGGAGAAGGAAGGGATAAGATAGTATTCTATAAGACCATGAGACTGAATAGAAATTCCCAGCACTACCTCTTGTAGATGGTCATTCAAGAATGATCCAAATCACAGCAAAGCTCTTCTGCCCAGAGACAATCTTTCCATGGTAGATGGTATCAAGGCTGGGACTACTCACTCTCATAAGAAAGAGATTATAACTTCCCAGATCCAGAAAAGAGTTCAAAAAATAGATGCTTGGCTAAACTTCATCAAGAACATTTTGTGGACTCATCCAGCTTAGATTCTGCAAATCACTCTACATGAGTCTAACCTTGAAAACACCTAGAAACTGCAGTTATCCTGGAATGCAGATGCCTGCCTGAAGACAGATGTTCACCAGTTTAGGAATATAACCCCTGTTTGGGGGGAGCTGGTATGTTTCTGGGTCCAATTCAAGGTGCTGATGGTTACCTATAAAATTGTATATGGCTTGGGATCTTGTTAGCTTTGGGATGATTTGCTCTAGATGGAATCTGCCATCTACAGTAGAGACCATATAGATCAGTGTTTGTCAACCTTGGAAACTTCCAAGTATGTGGTCTTCAACTCCCAATGTCCCTCAAACTTCTCCTTCCACCCATACCACCCAAATCCCTCTCTCCTTGATCCTGGCCACCCTCCAGAATATAAACTAGGAAGACATGCCCTATATTTCTATGCTTTGATTGGCATTTCCACCACCCGGTCACTCTGGGCCCCAGTTTCCCTAATCCGTCAGTTGTGCTTACCCACATCACCACTCCCACCTAGTTTTGATCTACATAGATCTGTATTTCCCAAACTTGGCAATTTCTAGGTGTGGAGACCTTGGATCCCAGAATTCTCATCAATGACCATGCACACAGTGGAATTCTGGGAGAGAGGGATTTGGGTGGTATGGGTGGAAGGAGAGGTTTGAGGGACATTTAGGGTCCTAGCCTAGACCTCCATCTGTCGGACAATGTTATGAATTACTGCCAGGGCAAGCAGGTATCGACAGATTATGGATACATTGCAATATTAAGTGAAGCTGTTTATGACCCATTTTGAGATATTTAATAAAAACTAATTCATTTCTTTCTCTGAATGTTAACAAAGTGACTGTGCCATCTATCTTCTCCATATTCTGTTTGGTCAGAGACACCTACAGTTCTTTGGCAAGCTCAGGGGCAATTCAAGCAGATCTGCTTGCTATTCCAGTTTTCTGGCACAGCTACAACTTTGCATTTGCTTTGTGTGTACTCCATAAAGTTTTCAGGGAGGATAACAAATATTCCACAATTATTGCAGGTCACAGCTGCAAAGTCACATCTACTGATTTCTTCTTCTAGTTCTTAAATAATTACCAGTAGAAGAAAGACTTTTATTTCTGTTTGCACTCTTTTCACATTCATAGAATAATTAAGGATGCAGTGTCCCTTTCGAAGGGGATTTTATAAAACATCACTGCAAAACATCTGCTAGTTTACCCTATTTGTTCACTCAGAAAGCTTACTCTCTGGTCATTAACTGACAAAAGATACTATGAAGCAGGAGCAATCTAATTTCTCCACAAAATGAGTGGGCAGAAAAATGGCTGCACATTTTGTCCTAGGTTTCAGATTCTACAGGGGCTGCTTGCTGTATCTTCTAAGCCTTCAGGTTATTCTCTGTCACCAAATTATTTTTTTTCTGGGAAAACAGATACATTTCCTAACATAAGCCATTATTTTAATTTTGTAAGAATTTTACGGGGCCCATGTGAGGCTCTCTGTTATTTCCAGAATGAAATATAAGACTGACTGGTGCCAACCTCCCATGTATTGCTTTTTATCACTAACATTAAAATTAAATTAAAATCCACATGATGGTTTACAGTTCTGTGTGATCATTAAAGAAAATATATAGCAATATTAAATGTGTCTATTCAGAAGCAAATACCACTGAGTTTACTAGTGGGCTTCCTCTCAAGTAAGGATGCTTGAGATTACAACCTTAAAGCCACATCATAGAAATCTATATTTTTTAAAAAGTCCAGTATGCTCCCTAAAACTGTTTCAAGTCAATGTGAATACTATTGTGAAGGCTCCTTTCTCCCACCAATTCTTCCTCCGTACTCTTTATTTCACACTAACAGCATTCAAGAAGTTTGGAGCTTGAAAGATTCTGAGCTCAACATGGCCAGTTTGAGTGTTCTTGGCTCAGAAGAGAATACCCCACATTCCAAAGCTTGGTTTCAGGTTTGTAATAAAAGGAGCATTTATTCCATATTGTTTAAATCAGTGTTTATCAACCTCAGCAATTTTAAGCATGCTGGGGAATTCTGGGAGTTGAACTCCACATATCTTGAAGTTGCCGAGGTTGAGAAACACTGGTTCAAATGATTCTGATGTCCCGTAATCAGCAGCTTATTTTCTTTTAAATTCCTTCAAGCCAGGAAGACATGGAAACTCAGCCCAGTGCCAAGAGCCAGCGAGCACAGATTCCAGCTCTGCCCCCTTCAGCTGGAGCTATTTGAGGAGGGGAAAGGAGTAGGTTGAAGAAGAGCCAGACAGGCATGTTTTCAGAGATTTAGAATCATCCTCAGCATAAGAAAAATGCTATTGCATGACAGTAGATAAATGTTTGCTAAGGGAAGAATAGAGTTCCTGGGTTGTAATGTAATATTGTTTTATGTATTTTGTGTCATTTTTTTTCCAGGCAGGTTGTTAAATGAAAAAAGGGCGTGTTGTGCACTACATGCTTTGTTCAGTTTTGTGGGTGAATTGCAAGATGGAAAAGCGCATCTAACACAGTATGTGCAAATCCCATATCCCACTATGCTGTGGAGCTTTCAGATTCTGTAGCAGTTTGTGCAGGTTGGTGAGGGTGCAAATTACGTGCTTAACTGTTGCTCCCATTTTTTGCTAGGCTAACTTTAAAAATGCTTTTTCTAAAATAATTAAATAAAAACAATCTCCTTATCCAATTTCTGCCCAGTAATACTTAGCATATGGACCATAAAGAAGGCTGAGCACCGAAGAATTGATGCCTTTGAACTGTGGTGCCACAGAAGACTCTTAAGAGTCCCCTGGACTGCTAGGAGGTCAAACCAGTCAATCTTAAAGGAAATCAACCCTG